GTTAGCTCAATTGGTAGAGCGCTGCACTAGTATCGCAGAGGTCAGTGGTTTGAATCCCGTACAGCCTGAATTTTTTCAGGTCTGATTTTCACTATTGCTTAAATAGTGCTCTTTACTGCGAGGATCGTGCACAAATATGTTTCTATAACTGCAGTTCAGATATATGAATTTCATATATTCATTGTACAAGGAACACAATTTGTGCCCAGTCTAGCTGCTCGCTATGTAGGGACTGATTGGCTACATTATTTCAGCGCATGAATTCTTGTGATAGCTCTCGGAGGAAATGCTGCGATTCAGATGCGTTTTACACATGCAGTGCGGAAGGCACTGACCGTAAAGGAGAGTTCTGTCTTTTAGCTAGTATGCAGTTCGAAAGTTTTGAAACTTTACACACATTAAAGATAAAACACACTATGCAAGACAATTTTCCTGGTAGCTTTAAAGCTATTTCTTTGTTGGTATTGACAAGAGACACTAAAAGCACAAAGATGGGAACGACAAAATGCCCTAAATAAATCGTGTCAACATTATTGGATTGAAGTTTCCCAGAATTTGTAAGGGTTAATAGGAGAAGCGTCTAGATGGAGAAAACTGGTTCTTCCAGAGAAAACGTGTAGTCGTGTTCTATTCAAATTTTGTCTTTTTGTTGAGACCGCTGTTAATTTGATCGCAAAGATACGCTACACTTATCTGGTAAAATACGTTCGATTGTAAATAGGACACAGCGAGGGTAATTTGTACACAGCCAAAGCGAAGAGTGCGTCATGTTGAGTACTACTTGAAATCTCTTGAAGAAGCAAGCCTGTCATCCCGTTTAATCGTAGCGCCATTCATAAATTCGAACAGGTATCAGACCTTTTAAAAATTAAAGATCACACGCAAACCTTTTCAGGACTCCAACATTTGGTATCCTTGCAGACAGGAAATATGTTTCAATAGAAAGCGAAATTCACAATGGTCGAACTACGCTTCTAATTACAGCATCGACCCTTCCAAGTGTTATTAAAGCCGAAAACTTAAAGGCCAGTAGGCCACGGCGGTTATCAATTCTTTTAATGAGAACATTGAAAATGTTTAGCGAGCTATTCTACTTCAACGTTTACGCTGTTGTCAAATTTTCACACTTACAAACGATTGAATAAATTTATCTAATCGATGATTCTGCTTTGTTGCGCTCTCAGAAATTCCCAAACAAATTCGTCTAGCTATGAGCATAACGAATGATTCACCTCGAAATGATCTCACTGTGGCAAAGTGAATAATCTCTCAGTCCTGCCATCAAGCACAGCTTATGCTCGAAAGTTAAAATTTGCAGCTAAAAAAGGGACCAGTAGCAACAGTGCAGAATATTTCCTTGTAAGATGGACGTACATACCTTCAATCTGTCCACCAGATCTTTCAAAGAAGATAGATCCACTGCAATGAGAAGACTGAATCCCACACGAGAGTTGAAAGCGAAGGACGCTTTTCCAGTTTAGCTTAAACAAACAAAACTCCATTGTTACCATTTGCTTTAGGGGACGTTGATGCTGGATGCTAGTGGAGTAAACTAAGGACTACTTTACCGTCAAGAGAAGCAATTCACACGTCTTTATCCAGAACGTTCTTCAACAGACGATTTCAAAGTCGATTTCAATATCTGGAGCGGTATTTACTTTTATACATAGTTTGGAAAAACACAAGACATAATCATATCTTGAATGATAAAATTAGAACCCAACTGGGACGTGATAACTAAATACGGATGACGCTATGTCGAAGGCGTTCGTCGAGGGTCGAAGACACAAGTTTATAGTACAGCGGTTAAACTTAAATTACGTCGTGTAAGCTGTAGCACGTGCTCCCCACGAAAGGTTCAAACCCGAAATGTGTAAGATCGTAGTGAACAAAGGATGAAGATATACAAAAACTAATGAAAATTTTTTCAGTATGTTTTGGCTACTTACAAGGCTATCAATGCGACAAAACTTCGTACGTTATTTCGTGGTCACTTTTGGTGTTCGAAATCAACGATATCAATGGCTGTTCTTGTTTTGAAACGTTGTCAGGCTCGACGCAGACCACTTTTCTTTG